TCTCGTCAAGATGTTACTCTCCGAATCAAATGAGTGCTGTACTTATGGCAGCTGTGAAGGTATGGACTGGGAATGTGCGAGCCTGCCTGCGTGTTCATCATGACACTCGTACATTTTGTAAGGCGATGAAGATGAGAAATTTGCCCGTGGTTTTGTTGGATGGGGTCCGGTTTGCATCGCTCGAGTCCGTGCAGCACGGAAAGGTGCGAACGCGAAAGGATGTGGTGTCCGGGGATTTGTGTGTGGCCATACGGAAGCTCAATGGTGTGGAGCTGATGGATGACGTTCAGCCAAGGGACCCTGCGATTTTTCTCCGGGACGAGAAGTCGAAGACATTTTCGGCCGAGGAGGCCAGGGAGATTTATTCCATCATTGTCAAATCCCTCTCGCACATCCTGGTAGTGGATTCTGAGGTTAAAACGGTGGAATGTGGCATCAAAAGGATCATGGGGAACTCGACGGCGACGGAGCCAGAGACCCCAAAACTCACCGATCTCATCAGGTGGTTAAAAAGTAACATGTCAACACACGATGTGCTTCCCATCTTTTCAACCCAAGACCGAACCGTTACATTTTTTGTCAACCAGAAGATATTCAGGCGCATAGGCCACAGTGACAATGGGAGGCGGAAGAAGTAGCCCCGGGTGGGGTGTAGTGTTTTTTTTTTCTTGTGTGTGTGTGGGTTGAAAGGTTTTTGATTGTTTTTTTTTCTCTTCTTTTTTTACCGAGGGAGTGCGATTGAGGTGCGATACAAATATGTTTGCTTCTTGACATCACAATAAAAGGGGGAGGAGCAGGAGGCGTAGGATGCGTTTCTGCTGCCCACAGTTTCACGATGCTTGTATTTCTTCACACACCCCACCAATTCCAGGGAGAATTTTTGGCATCTCTTCTTAAATTTATTTTATTTTTTGGTGTCTTTTTTTTTTTTTTTTTGGCTTATCTTTTTTTTTTTTTTCTTTTTTGAATTTGATTTCACTTCCCAGCCCCGCCTGGGTGGCAAAATAAAAGGGTGTGACGGAAAGGAAGGGAGGGCAGGAGAGGAGGCACGAAGGGAAACAAAAACACACACTGAGGGAAGCAAGGCAATAAAAACAACAACAACAACAAAAAAGGGGTATCGAGGAGGAGGGGAAGCTGAAAACCAACCAACCGAGCAAACTCCTACGAAAGACGCGGACGCGCACATGGCGAACTTCTTTAGGAAAACTGCCTCTACAGCCCCTCTTCCGGACACGGAGGAGGTAGAGATGCTACGGCAAAAGGTTGGCACGCTGGAGGAGCTTGTGAAGCGGGCAGAGGAGGAGTTGCGGGAGGAGAAAGAAAAGCTGTCCACGCTGCAAAATAAAACCGCTCAATGGAAAGAAAAGGTCAAGGAGCTAAACGCCAAGGATCGGGCATGTATCAAACAACTTGAAGAGGAACTGAAAGTTATAAAGGCCATGCACGGCGATGCGCCTATTCCCATAACCGCGGAGATACAGTCGCTGGTGGAGAAGGGTCTTGCAACGCTGCGATACGAGCACGAAGGAGAGCTGGGAGCCAAGCAGCGGGAGCTGGAAAAGGCGCTTGCAACCGCATCGGACCGCGCCTCAGAGCTCGAGAAGAGCCAACGCAAGCTGGAGGCCCTCCAAAAGCAGCACATGGAGATGCAACAGCGCTTCACAAGACAAATGGAGTCCCTAAGCAAGCACCATGAAATGGAAATAACTCAACTTAGTGAGCGTCTCAGCGAAGCGGACAGCATTCATGAACTCAAAAACCATATTAGTAAGCAGGAGGATGAAATAAAAGCGATGGAAAGTCACTCTACCCAACAAGCAGTTCTTGCAGGCGAGTTGCAGAAGGAAATAGCGGAACTCACGACGAAAAATAACGAACTACAGGGAAAACTTAACGAGTCCTTGGATAAAATGTCCGTTATGCAAGAGAAGCAGCGGAATTGGAAAGAAAGTGTTAAAAACATGAAGATGCAGGATATGAACACCATTCAGGAACTGCGAGAGGAACTCGAAAGGCAAAAGCGAGAAGCATCCACGGAAAGCGGTCTTCATCCGTCGCATGAGGAAAAACTGCACCAGTGGAAGGAAAGGGTGAAGCATGAAAAACTTAAAGATATGGAAACGATTAAAGACCTCACAAACAAACTTAGCAAATCTCAACAGCAGATAGATGAAGCACAAAAACTCATTAACAATGTAGCTATTTTTCTTGAGGAAATTCCACCAAAAGTCTCGCATTCCATTGAATTTATAAACAAATACCGGTCACTCTTGAGCGAAAACTTCGTGGCAACAAAAAAAACGGCTTCCGCCAATAGTTCTACATCCACTCCGTTGACAGCTAGAAAAGACGAAAAGGCAGATCAGGATACAGTAAGGGCGTCACAAAACCTGCGTGCGCAGCTGGACGAGGCCTTGCAGCAGCGCGAGGAGGTGCGTCGCGAGCTGAAGCGAACCAGCGAGGAACTGGCCGCTCTCCGGGAGCAGAGCGGGGCGGACACCGTGAATCTGCGTGCGCAGCTGGACGAGGCCTTGCAGCAGCGCGAGGAGGTGCATCGCGAGCTGAAGCGAACCAGCGAGGAACTGGCCGCCCTCCGGGAGCAGAGCGGGGCGGACACCGTGAATCTGCGTGCGCAGCTGGACGAGGCCTTGCAGCAGCGCGAGGAGGTGCATCGCGAGCTGAAGCGAACCAGCGAGGAACTGGCCGCTCTCCGGGAGCAGAGCGGGGCGGACACCGTGAATCTGCGTGCGCAGCTGGACGAGGCCTTGCAGCAGCGCGAGGAGGTGCATCGCGAGCTGAAGCGAACCAGCGAGGAACTGGCCGCTCTCCGGGAGCAGAGCGGGGCGGACACCGTGAATCTGCGTGCGCAGCTGGACGAGGCCTTGCAGCAGCGCGAGGAGGCACGGCAGTCGTTTAGAAATATTCAAATTAGGTTGAATGAAATTGAAAGGGAATGTGAGGTTGCTGTGAAAGAAAAGGAGAGCGGTATTCGTTTGGTGGAGGAGAAGCTAGTGCTATGGAAGGAGAAGGTAGTCGCGGCGAAGGCTAGGGATGACGCAAGAATTGGAAGTTTAGAAATTACCGTTAGCTCACTTCGTGACAATTTGAGTAAGCTTGTAAACTTTTTGGTGAACTTTTTGAATGTTTTGGGCGAGACGGTGGCGTTTGATGTGTATGAGCACGGCGACGACGATTTAGATTTGTCTTTGTTGTTCTCATGTGTGGATAACTTTCAGCGGCGGCTGGAACAAACCATGAAAGCATTGGACGTGTCCGAAGCGACCATGTCGCTCATTGAACTGCTTGTGTCTCTTAACGGGAAGGTTTCCGAGGGACAGAAGGCGTTTGTTGAGATTTCTGCCGAACTTCAACGCTGCCAGCACGAGTTGCAGGAGGCGAATTCCCGCTTGTCGGAGGCGGAGACGAAGGCCGATTCTTTACCGTCGCCGGAGCTTGTGGCTGAGTTGGAAGCGAAGAATAGTCAACTGGAAGAAAAATGTGATCTTCTTCGCAAGGAGATTAAACGACAGAGGGAGGCATTTCAGCGAGATCGGGCCCTTCAAGGCCTTTCTTCAACATCAGCGACGCAGGAAGATGGGGGCATAAATTTACGTTCTGCGGCTGGTGTTGTCTTTGAGAGGGACATGCTGTCATTAGCCAACCAACAGAGTCAACGTGACAATGAAATTCGTCGGCTACGTGTCCAACTTCAAAGCCTTGAGAAGGAGAATGCGGAGATGAAGCGCGAGTGTGAGCATAATAACAGTGTGGTGGCGAAGTATACGAAGGATATTGAGGTTCTCAAGGCCAAGGAGCGAGTTCAGCAGAGCATAGAGTACGTGCGAAATGTAATACTTCGTTTTCTATGCTGCACGAATGAAGAACTTCGGCTGCAGATGCTTCCGGCGATATCGACGGTTTTGGAGTTTTCGTCGAAGGAAAAATTGGATGTCCAGAGAGCCAATCCTTCGTGTCCTAGATTCCAATAGGGAAGTGAATTGTTGGAATTTGCTTTTTTGGTTTGTATTTATTATTGTTGTGTTATTGTTATTATGACATCTCCCTCCTGGTGCGGATTACTGCTTTGTGGTGAGCGTTTTTTTTTTCTGTTTCTTTCTTTTTTTTTGTTGCGTGTGTAGTTGCGCGCATTTGTGTTTCGGCAAATTATGCAGATCTGTGGTTGAAATTTTAAGGATGCGCGAATGGGCCCAATACTTCTTATATTGTTTTCTCTTTTTTATGCTGTGTCTTTTTATTATTATTGTTGTTGTTAAATTTGTGTGTTTGTTTGCTTTTCTTCTTTTGCCGATGTTTTGCCCCTGTTATCCAACAGTGTGGAGGGGGACGAAAGAAGAAAGGCGTCGTTCTGTAGAGGGGCTGACGCCGTCCTTTGTTGCGTTGGAGTTTGTGCCAATGGTGAAGCGGGATTTGGAGAAGGAGCGGCAGTTGGAGCTTGCCGCCATTTGGGGCAGTGAGACGGACGGTGACCTCCGCTACCCGAAGCGTCGTCGGAATATGGCCAGGCAGCCAACGACCACAGCGGCTGCTGCTGCCGCAGACGCAGACGGAGCGAGTGATGTTCTTTCTTCTTTGGGCAGCGACGCCGTCGGCGAGAGCGGCGGGTCTGACCGGGGAGCACCGAAGAAGAAACGGGAGAAGAAAGGCAAGAAGGCATTGAGCGCGTACCGACTTCACTGCTTTGTCGCCCCTGGCACCGAGCGTAACGCCGTACGCACGGTGTTTGATGCATACGAGCCAAAAGTGGAGATTCGGGTATCCCAGAAGGGCAACTTGCTGAACAAGACGCACTACGCGGTGCTGACGTTTCGTAATAAAGCGATGGCACTTCATTCAGTGAAGATGTTGGACGGCACCGACCAGCGCGAACTCCTCGGGGTGAAGGAGTTGAAGCTAGGACTCATGCTCTCAAGGAAAGAGCAAAATGCGTCTCGTAGAAGCATGCGTAAGCGGTTGCATGAGGAACGAGAAAGGAAAATGGTGAAAGAGACTGAAGAGGATGTGACGTTTATCAAAAATTTCATGAATCTGTACGCGCCTAGTGGGTAGATGCTAGTTGTGCGACGGAAACGACCGGAATAAGAGCAAAAAAAAAAAAAATAATAATAACGAGTAAGAAAATGATATATATACACTTATTTTCTTATGGTTGTTTATCTGTCTTTGGTGCATAAATGATATAATCATATGATGCATCCTTTTTTTTTTTGATTTTCACATTTTTTTTTTCTTGCACTTGTGATTTGTTGCTGTCAATACCCTTTGGACTTGTAGGAAGGTGCGGTGCTAATGGCCACAGAGAATCCGGTGGCGCAGGTTTACGAGTACTTGAAGCATGTGGTTGGTGCTGGTGGTATGACGGGTGCCGTGCCAGCAGCGACGGTGCGGAATTATTTTGGCGCACTTGACGGGAATCGTATGTTTCACGGCGAAGGCGTTCTTTATTCTGCAATGGGCTTCTGCTACAAGGGGGATTTTGTCCATGGGAGCATGGAAGGTCACGGCCAAATCTCATGGAACAATGGCATTTCTTATCAGGGTGATTTTTACAACAATGCTCCTAATGGGAGGGGTATCTTCATCTGGTCTAACGGCAACAGGTATATTGGAGAGGTGAAAAATGGCGTGTGTCACGGCAACGGCGAGATGGAGACGAATCGCGGAGTATATTCTGGCGGCTGGGCCTCTGGTAAACGTCACGGCATGGGACGTCAGACGTATGATGTTGATTCTTTTTATGAAGGAGAGTGGGCCGAAGACAAACGCCATGGCAGGGGCAAATTGGTGTACCCCAACGGTGACGTGTACGACGGCATGTGGGAAAA